GGTTTTTCGATATTAGTTATAGATATTTCAGGTAAGTTAAAGATGGTAGATGGTAAGACTCATACGCCGCGAATGCGACGTAATTATCAATTGACGCCGGGAGTTATGCGCTTTTCGGCAGCTCGAATGTACGCAAAGAGAGGTGTTTATGCAAAGAAACCATTCCCAGTTGTAAAGAAAGCCGTTGTTGTGAAGGAAAAATTCGTCACGAAACAAGTCGGAGGTGACAAGAACGGTGGTTCGAGAAAGGTGTTCTTGGACAAAGGGGTAAGTGGTCGTCTTTAATGCCTTTGGATGATTCTGACGAAATTTTAGGCGGTATATCAATTTTATCAGCTTCAATCGTTTACATCAGCTTTTACTGAGATTCAAATGTATTAAAATGTTCTATAAGCATAATATCCATCAGCTTTAATATGTATTTCAGCCAAAATACCTTCCTGAATCGCGCCTTCAAAGAAAACCCCGCAGACATGTCTCCAAGAGAGTTCCTCTCCGATCCACAATAACCCCCGGCACTGTTTTAATCGTTTTGGCTGGCAGACATAAAGGCAAACGAGTTGTATTTTTGAAGCAACTTGAGAAGTCTGGTTTATTGCTCGTCACCGGTAAGTGTTTTACATATTTCCTAAAGTGAAGCTTCTTAGCATTTTAAAGTTCTCATATTTCTTCTGATAGCATCCTATCCTTGAGTCGTTTATTCGAAGGATTTACTGGAAGACAATCCTTTTTGTTTAGATAACTTATCAGTTATGGGTCATCTGCAGCTAGCAATAATTATTTCACGTCTGTCACACAATTGCGTCAACGCCATTCTTATGGTTATCTTGATTTCAGGACCACTCAAGCTGAACTCAACTCCGTTGCGACGTATCGCACAAGCGTTCGTTATTGCAACGAAAACGAGGATCGATATTTCAGGAGTAAAGATTCCAGATCACATTGATGATGCATACTTCAGACGTGTCAATCCCAAGAAAGCACCGAAAAAGGGTGATACAAGCATCTTCGCGCAGACTGATGCTGTTAGTTGATTGCTTTTGCGCTTACGTTCCACCGAAATCACTTTCTGTTACTGATTATCCGCACTTAACAATGTCTTCTTTCCTTGGTGTAAAACAGTTCGCTGAGGTAGTAAGTGTGATGGCGCAATGGTTAAGTGCTAGACATTGCATTCCATCGCAGTTGGTTCGGTACCTGCCAGCGATCAGCATGTATGATCGTTCGAGTAAACGCTTTCAAAAAGCACTGAGCAATGCTTCCGAATGCATTGTGCGGCCGTCGAAGAAAGCTAGATAGGTGATGCTCTTCATTGGGTGAGACTGGATTGTATTAATATATCTGGCCTCAAAGAAGTGCTTACACTCTTCCTGAATCTACAGTTTATTCATCTATTTATTCATCAGTTTATTCATCTATCGCTGTCTTGGTGAATTTGCATTGGATGAGTATGGCCCGTTAGTAGTTGAATGTA